GAATTGCTACTTTATACCACACATAGCATTAAGAATTAGACACTTAACGAGGATTGATCATCTTACCCCATGTCGGCTCTCTTGATTATCTTTTTTAGGTGTACAGATTTCATTATGTTTATCACATCTTATAGGTCTATATAAGTGAGTATATGCCGTGTTTGTCTTTCTGTGTCTGGGATATTTCACTCAGGATGATCTTTTCTAGATCCCACCATTTGCCTGCAAATTTCATGATTTCCTCTTTTTTGATTGCTGAGTAGTATTGCATTGTGTAAAAATACCACAATTTCTGTACCCATTCCTTCGTTGATGGACATCTGGGTTGTTTCCAGGTTCTGGCTATTACAAATAAAGCTGCTATAATCAATCCTCGTTTAGAAAGACAGATGGGATGTGCATTGAACGTATAACAGGAGTCTACTGAGCGCATTTGAAAGACTCTAACTAGCAGTGTTTTCAAAGCAAAGACTCATGACCAAACCTTTGGCAGAGTACAGGGAATCATAAGAAAGAAGGGGAATTAGTCTGATGGGGAAAGAATAGGAGCTCTACAAGGACCAAATATATCTGGGCACAGGGTCTTTTCTGAGACTGACATTCAACCAAGGACCATGTATGGATATAACCTAGAACCTTAGCTCAGATGTAGCCTGTGGTAGCTCAGTAACCAATTGGTTCCCCTAGTGAGGGGAACAAGGACTATTTCTAACAGGAACTCAATGACTGGCTCTTTGGCCTCCCCACCCCCCAAGGGAGGAGCAGTCCTGTTAGGCCACAGAGGAGAGCTTTGCAGCCAGTCCTGAAGATACCTGATAAAACAGGATCAGATGAATGGGGAGGAGGTCCCCCCTATCAGTGGACTTGGAAAGGGGCACGGTGGAGATGAGGGAGGGAGGGAGGGAGGGAGGGAGGGACTGGGAGGGAATGAGGGATTGGGACACAGAGTTAATAAAATGTAACTGATAAGAAAAAAATAAAATTAAAAAAAAAAGAATTAGACACTTAAAAATGTCTTTAAGCACTCTGAGTTGGAGGCCAGCCTGGTCAACAAAGTGAGTCCAGGACAGCCAAGACTACACAGAGAAACCCTGTCTCAAAAACCAATACAAAAGTAAATAAAGTAAAGTGAAAAGATGCCTATGCTGGGGGTGGCACACACCTTTAACCCCAGCACTTTCAAGTCAGACACAGACAAATTTCTGTCATTTCCAAACCACCCATGGCTACATAGTCAGGCTCTGTCTAGAAAAGTTATTAAAAAGCTGCCTAAAACCCCACCTCTGACCTAAAATAGCTGCAAATATATAGCCAAGAACTCTAACTCAAGACCATTGGTGGTGAATATTCTTTTTTTTTTTTTTTTTTTTTTATTCTTGTATACCTTTAACCTGATCTTCCATTCATTATCTGGAAGAAAATCATAACCTTCCTTAAGGACCCATTGAAATGATTCTTTTTCAGTGAAGGCGTCTCTGGCAACTCATCTTATCTACCCTTCCCATCCCCAAGTACATATACCTAATCCTATTTCTGTAGCTTTAATTATTCTTCTGGAGTCCAGTAGCACTTTACTCACAGTTTTATTGTACGGTTTATTACAATTATTGATTTTTGATTGTTTATCTGTCCCTTAAACTATATTGAAAGCTCTTCCAGAGCAATACACAAATTTTTTTCATTCCTGTATTCTTAGTGACTAGAATAGAAAATGCTGTATAGCAAGACAGGCAAAAAAAAAAAAGGATGGGGGAGGACTTTGAGAATAAGCATATTAAAAATCACACACAAGAAAAAAATGTAATGACAACATGTAGGAAGGAATAATTAATTCCAGTGAGGTGGCTTCACAGTTAAAGTGGTATTTGAGATAACACTTGAAAATGATTTCAGTTGGCATTCTACAATTTCTAGTCAGAGATCCCCTAAACACTTGCTACCTGGAAATTGGAAATACATCTGGACCTATTTATTGCCTCTGTAAACTCTGGATCCAGAGGATATTTAATGTTATATGTTTGTTTTCTTACTGATATTTACAGACAAGCTATATTTGGCCTTGAGCTGTGCCTTCATGAGAGAGCACTAAAAATGGATGTGCACACTAGACTACAAGTGGGACAGTCAGCAGTTCAGAGTGTATTGTGGAATACTTATGGCTCCCTTCCTCTCTCTCCCCCTTCCTCTCTTCTCTGTATATGTATGGGCATGGGTATTGTTGGAGGATTCAGCATAAAAGAATGAAAACTTTAAAAACAGAATTTCAAAACTAATGTCTTTGAACATTTGCTTGTTCTCAACAGGCCTAAAATAGTACAAGTATAAATAACACAGTCAAGGACCATACCTGATGTTGCCAGCTTGGAAAGACATGATGGACATTAACAAGCTACTCTTAGAGCAGAGTTGCCTTCAGGGGTCTAATTAGCAGATGTTCATATTGGAAGGTAGTAGAAAGACTACGTCATTTTTCTTTTACCTGGAGGCTCTCAGCAGTCGGAGAAATTTCCCAAATTAAAACCCTTTTGAGCTCAGAAAACTTATTGACCAAATCTCACACAACTGTTCAGTCAGCACATGTCCTTGTCTATGTAACCCACTTCAGTGTCTTTGCTTATGTGACCCTTTTTGAGAATATCCCTTTCTTTTCTTTACTACCTAATAACTAGCCATCACTCAAAATATAGTCATATAATTCTACCCTTCTCTTTGAACATCTGTTCTCTATAAAGTAATTTCTACCTGCTCAGGCCACAGAATCACTTTATTCCTTAAACTTCAGTAATCTAGACTATACCAGTCAAGTATTTCATTCATTTTTAATTATTTTATTAGGAATAATAAAGCATAGTTACTAAAATATGTGCATCCTATACAACCTTGGGTAATAGGGATAGCCTTTCAAAACCTTTCATTTGTTAAATGCAGATATAAATCCACCCCATAGATTTGTCCTGAAAGTTAAATGACAATGACACATGCCAGCTGTTTTAGTTGACATATGGCAAGCACACAATAATTAGTGGTAGTGAAAGGCTGAAGTTGTGCTGGTACTAACAGTAATTATCATCATCATCATCATCATCATCATCATCATCATCTGTCTCTTCACCTAGAATGTGCAACATTTTTTTCTTTTTTAATTATTTTTTTTCTTTTTTAATTTTATTTTTAAATTTTTATTAATTACGGTTTATTCACTTTGCATCCCAGATGTAGCCCCCTCCCCCAAAGCCTTCCAATCCCACTCTCCCTCCCTCTTCTTCACCTATGCCTCTCCCCTAGTCCAATGATAGAGGAGGACCTCCTCCCCTTCCTTCTGACCCTAATCTATCAGGTCTCATCAGGACTGGCTTCATCATCTTTTTCTGTGGACTGGTAAGACTGTTCCCCCCTCAGGTGGAAGTGAACAAAGAGCCAGCCCATGAGTTCATGTCAGAGACTGTCCCTGTTCCTATTACTGGGGTATCCTCTTGGACTCTGAGCTGCCATGGTCTAATTCTGTGCAGGGGTTCTAGGTTATCTCCATGCATGGTCCTTGTTTGGAGTATCAGTCTCAGAAAAGACCCCTCTACCCAGATTTTTTGATTCTGTTGCTCTCCTTATAGAGCTCCTGATTTATTAATTACAATTTATTCATTTTGTATCCTAGCTGTAGCCCCTTCCCTAAACTCCTAACAATCCCACTCTTCCTCCCTTTTCTTCTCCCATGCCCCTCCCCCATCCACTGATAGGAGCAGTCCTCCTCCCCTTCCTTCTGACCCTAGCTTATCAGTTCTCATCAGGACTGGCTGCATTTTCTTATTCTGTGGCCTGGTAAGGCTGCTCCCCCATCAGAGGGAGGTGATCAAAGTGCTAGCCACTGAGTTCATGTCAGAGACAGCCCCTGTTCCCTTTACTAGGGCACTCACTGGGACAATATGCTGCCATGGGGTACATCTGGGCAGGGGTTCTAGGTTATATGCATGCATGCTCCTTGGTTGAATTATCAGTAAAATCTGTACACTAAGCAAGAAGGAAGGCCCTGGGTAAGATGATCAATCCTTATTCAGAAAGACAAACAGGATGGACATCGGAAGAGGAATAAGACAGGGAACAGGTCAGGAGCCTACCACAGAGAGCCTCTGAAAGACACTACTCAGCAGGATATTAAAGCAGATGGTGAGACTCAGAGCCAAACTTTGGGCAGAGTTCAGGGAATTTTTTTTTATAATTTTTATTTTTTTATATTAATTACAGGTTATTTACTTTGTATCCCAGCTGTAGCCCCCTTCCTCAGTCCCTCCCAATCCTCCCTCCTCATCTCCTCCCGGGCCCTCTCTAAGTCCACTGATAGGGGAGGTCCTCCTCCCCTTCCATCTGACCCTAGTTTATCTCAAATAGGGGCCATGTCTACTGTCTGCTTTTTCATTGGGTTTCCCCTAACCTATAGAATATTCCTTTATCTGATGGATAGCTTATCTCTTTCAATAGTACTACTACAAGGACCTAAACTTTTACCAGAAGTATATTTTTTCACAATTTATTGCTAACTAAGAAGCCTTTTGATTGTTGTTTGTTGCTGTTGTTGTAGTTGGTAGCGGTGGTGGTGGTGGTGGTGGTGGTGGTGGTGGTGGTGGTGGTGGTTTGCATCCCTGACAAGTTTGCATGGGATATGCTGAAGTAATAATATATTATTAGACAAAAAGAATAAGAAACTTCTTAGTTATTCCAAACTCCTTTGATGTGTACATTTGTGTTAGGTAGAAATGGGGTAGGGAACTAGAAAGGAATTATGTTGAAATGCCATCTGGTAAATTGCTTCCCAATTTCATGACTTCCTGCCATTTCAAGCTGTATTGTTTCAATCCTTGTAAAGAAACTAGCATTGTATTGAGGTCTTACCCACCACTTGTCCATTGACCATTTTAATAAAGTGTTTGCCAAAGCTTACTCTAATAACTAAACCAGATACTGGAACCTCAACACAACAAATCATTTGGCCTTTCATTTCATTTCAGCTGAAAATACTAGAACTCTGAATGTAGATTCCAGTGCAATGACTCTGCCTGTGTCTGATCCAACTGCATGGGCCACAGCAATGAATAATCTTGGAATGGCTCCACTGGGAATTGCTGGACAACCAATTTTACCTGGTATGTTATTTTTAATTACCTCACAAGTATTTCTTTTTATTGACTATATGGTAATAAATATAATGATATGACAGAACTTATTTTGAAGTTGACATTTTCTAGATTCTGCCTAGAGTGGGCATTTTTGTAACATTATCTTTATAGACTGGATGGCCAGTAGCTACTAGTATACCAGTGACAGCACTTTGGGCAATTTAGGAGGATATCTGATAAATAATGTATCAGAACATGTAATGAAATAAAATCCAACTGAATTTTGGCAAGTAATAACAAAGCTGGTCTAATTTTATGGATTTCTTTGAGGACACAAATAAACATGTGCATGGAAAGAGAGCTTACTTAAACTCATCATAAATCCTAGATTCTTAAAGGAGAAGAAGGAAGGTGGTAGGTGCATAGGCTCCAAAATAATTTTGACATTGAATTATACTGTTAACATATGTGTACACACACGTGCACATTAATGGCCATGGTGAACTAACTCCATCTCTATTAAGTATGAAGTCAAGAACCAGTAAAGTAGTTCAGAATATGAAAGACACTTTACCCCAAAGCGTCATGGCTTGAGCTTGATTCCCAGAACCCACATGGTGGAAAGAAAGAACCAAATTTGCAAGTTGTCCTCTTCACTTCTACATGTGTACCATAGCATGAGTATATAGCATGAGTGTGTATGCGTGTTTAAATGTTAATTTAAAAATGATATCAGAAGAAAAACATCATGATATATAAGGGGGTTTGTAAACAGCTTCCTGGCTAGTAAGAGTTAATTAATACCATCTCAGGGAGCCTGGGGTGGCTTTTGAAACAGCCTAAACATTAATCTCCTTAGATTTATTTAATTGTGGCCTGCATAAATGCACACAAGACCTAATCAAGCTAAATGCTTGCTGCTCAAAATGTGTTTTTGTATAGTCCCCAAAATATGAAGCCTTGTCCAGACCTACTGAAACAGATGCTGCATTTTCACAAGATATTCAAGTTATTCACAGGCATGATCATATTGATCCACAGTGTTGTGCTGTTTTGTTCATATAATTAGGTCTTTCTTCAGTTTTACAATTCCAGCCTGAATTTTAAATCATTATGGCTTATAATGGAATTGATGACAATATTAGCAATAAATTAAGAGATGTATTATGTTAAATTCTGGGAAATAAGTACAAAAGAGATCATTCAAGAAAAAAATATATGGATAAGGAATGGGTACCAACCTAGAAGCTTTATCAATACTTGAAAACTTTCATAGTGCCATGAGGTTCTATTTATGCTACCAGGGAAGGAAAATACTCAACAGTCTTACCTACAGTGAACCGTACAAACTATAATGAAAAATGATGTGTCTACTGGTACAAAAGTTATGTTATAGGAGTAACTAACCATATTCCAATTGGATTTATTATTTTATTTTATTTTTATATTAATCACAGGTCATTCACTTTGTATCTCAGCCTCAGCCTCCTCCCTCTTTCCCTCCCAATCCCACCCTTCCTCCCTCATCTCCTCCTTGCCCCCCTTCCAAGTCTACTGATAAGGGAGGTCCTCCTCCCCTTCCATCTGACCCTAGCTTTTCAGGTATCTTCAGGACTGGCTGCAATGTCCTAATCTGTGGCCTAGCAAGACTGCTCCTCCCTTGGGGGGAGGGGTCAAAGAGCCTGTCATTGAGTTCATGTCAGAAATAACCATTGTTCCCCTTACTAGGTATTTAAAGCCTACTCTGTAAAGACTGAACTCATAGCTGGTACTGTTGACTGGCTAGGTCATGCCCTAAAGCAGAACATAGTTCAATTAATCTGTTTAATGAATATAGTATTAAATGTCCCTGTGATCTTATCTGCATTTTCATAGATTAGTGTAACTCTTATTCTTTTTTTTATTATTTTTTATTTTTTTTAATTTTTTATTAATTACATTTTATTCATTTTGTATCCCCCCATAAGCTCCTCCCTCCTCCCCTGCCGATCCCACCCTCCCTCCCCTTTCTGCATGCATGCCCCTCCCCAAGTCCACTGATAGGAGAGGTTCTCCTCTTCTTTCTGATCTTAGTCTATCAGTTCTCATCAAAAGTGGCTGCATTGTCCTCTACTGTGGCCTGGTAAGGTTGCTCCCCCCTCAGGGGGAAGTGATCAAGAGCAGGCTAATCAGATTATGTCAGAGGCAGTCCCTCTTCCCATTACTATGTAAACCACTTGGACACTGAACTGCCATGGGCTACACCTGACAGCTGGGTCAGGGAAGAAATAAAGAAAGAAATTAAAACCTTTCTAGAACTCAATGAAAATTAAGACACAACATACCCTAACTTGTGGGACACAATGAAAGCAGTGCTAAGAGGAAAGTTCATAGCACTAAGTGCCTTCAAGAAGAAATTCGAGACAGCTCATTCAAGCAACTTAATGGCCCACTTAATAACCCCAGAAAAAGAAGAAGCAGACACACCAAAAAGGAGTAGACGGCTGGAAATAATCAAACTCAGGGCTGAAATCAATCAATTAGAAACAAATAAAACAATTCAAAGAATCAATGAAACCAAGAGCTGGTTCTTTGAGAAAATCAACAAGATCGATAAACCCTTAGCCAAGCTAACTAAAAGGCAGAGAGACACCACCCAAATCAACAAAATCAGAAATGAAAAGGGGGACATAACTACAGACACTGAGGAAATCCAAACAATCATTAGGACTTACTTCAAAAGTCTATATGCCACAAAATTTGAAAATCTAAATGAAATGGACAATTTTCTTGATCGATTTGACTCACCAAAGCTGAATCAGGACCAGGTAAATCAATTAAATAGTCCTATATCCCCCAAAGAAATAGAAGCAGTCATCAAAAGTCTCCCATCCAAAAAAAGCCCAGGACCAGATGGCTTCAGCGCAGAATTCTACCAGACCTTCAAAGAAGAGCTAACTCCAATTCTCTTCAAACTATTCCACAAAATAGAAACAGAAGGAACATTACCAAACTCATTCTATGAAGCCACAATCGCCCAAGTAACTCTTATTCTTGACCAGAGAAACTTCTTTTTGTATTAGATAACCATTAACAGAGACACCGACAACTGATCAGTGTGCAGAGAACAAGAAACTATGGAGTGCTCACCTCTAAATATTATAGTTATATCACACCCAGCCCCAGGCTCAGGGAACAGTATGGAAGAGGGGCAGGATGATTGTAAGAGCCAAAGGTAGTGGATATCTGCATTTTTACTAAAAATGACAAGGCAGTGCCACACATGAACTCATTGAAGCTCTGACTACATGCCCAAGACTTACTTGAGCAAGATCAGTTAAGCCAAAATCTCAACATGGGTTGGATTGAGAAATGTCATGTTCGTAGCAGCTTTATTTGTAATAGCCAGAACTTGGAAACAACCCAGATGTCCATCAACGGAGGAATGGATACAGAAATTGTGGTATTTTTACACAATGGAATACTACTCAGCAATCAAAAAGGAGGAAATCATGAAATTTGCAGGCAAGTGGTGGGATCTAGAAAAGATCATTCTGAGTGAAGTATCCCAGAAGGAGAAAGACAAACTTGGTATATACTCGCTTATATAGACCTACAAGATATGATAAACATAATGAAATCTACACACCTAAAGAAGATAATCAAGAAAGTGGACACAGGCGAAGGTGATTAATCCTCATTTAGAAAGACAAATGGGATGTGCATTGAATGTATGACAGGAAATCTACCACAAAAGGCATCTGAAAGACTCTACCTAGCAGTGTTTCAAAGCAGACACTAAGACTCATAACCAAACCCTCGGCAGAGTGCAGGGAATCATATGAAAGAAGGGAAGTTAATATGATATGGAAAGGATAGGAGCTCTACAAGGACCAAATATATCCGGGCACAAGGTCTTTTCTGAGACTGACACTCAACCAAGGACCATCTATGGATATAACCTAGAACTTCGGCTCGGATGTGGCCCATGGTAGCTCAGTAACCAAGTAGTTTTCCAAAGTAAGGGGAACACGGACTATTTCTAACAAGATCTCAAGGGCAGGCTGTTTGACCCCCCCCCCCAGGGGAGGAGCAGTCTGTTAGGCTACAGAGGAGGACTTTGCAGCCAGCCCTGAAGGTACCTGATAAAACAGGGTCAAATGAAAGGGGAGGTGGTCCTCCCCTATCAGTAGACTTGGAAAGGGGCAGGGAGGAGACCAGGGAGGAAGTGCGAGGTTGGGGAGGGAATGAGGGAGCGGGATACAGCTGGGACACAGAGTTAACAAAATGTAACTAAAAAGAAAAATAAAATTAAAAAAAAGAGAGAGAAATGTCTAAGAGATTAGCAAAGCACACCACTGGATATGTCTGTGGTGGCACTCGCAAAAAACAAACAAACATAAAGTTTGACATGTAGGAGAGCAACTGAGGAAGAAAGCCTCATAATAAATGTGGTCAGCACCATCCAGTAGGCTGGAGGCCAGATGAAATAAAAGAAGGAAAATAAAAACCCAGCCAGCAGGTGCAAATTCACTCTTCCTGAGGGAGTGTATATCGTACTGTTGCCTAGATACAACATAGCCCTACCACTTTAGCCTTATAATATGGGCTTTTAACACATGTTCTCTAGGAATATTTCAGGCTTCTTCAGTCTTGGGCTGGGACTACATCATTGATCCCCCCCCCTTTTTTTTTCTACAGCTTATAGTTTCTTTCATTGAATAGTTATGGAATTTTCTAGCTTTCAGACATACACAGGGTCATAGTAGTGTTACCCAATCTTCAGTTGTGTAAGCCAATCTAATAAATCCTCCTCTATAATTTCGTATGTATTCCTCTTAGAGAATCTTGACTAATTTTGTATAGCTCACACTGAAACAGTCAAAATGTGGTTCATTCACATTCTTAATAGCAATGACAAATAATGAATGTGTGGCTGAATTTTTTCCCTGAGGAAACACCGAGTAGTGGTAGCTGTATGGAATAGTAAGCATCTGATTGTGCTGTTGCCTGCTCCATTCATGATTGGTGGACATTGCCTTAGAAAT